AGCACCAAGGGAAGGAAGACTTGTGGGGAGGAGGTCTGGCCACGGCAGGCCTGGGGCAGATGGAAAGTTAGAAATATCTTCAGAGCTGGGCCTGGTGACACATGCCTGTGATGCTAGCACTTGGGAGGCTGAGGCAGGAGAATTGCCATGAGTCTGAGGCCACCCTGGGCTTACACAGTGAGTTTCAAAGCCAGCCTAAACTACACAGTGAGATTCTGTCTCCAAAATATTAATTTAATTAATTAATTAAGAAAAAGGGAGTCACATTTGGGGAACAGGCCCAATGTGGGTAAACAAGAGGACCTGTTACGGTTTAGATCTAGAAGTTTCCTCCAGTGTATGGAAAGTGGCTGGACTGTGGTTTGCTGTACTTACCAGCAGGTCCATTCATGGGTGCATCTAAGCTGACTGAGCAGCTGGGAGCTAGGGCCAGGCTGGAAGGGGGCCCTGGGGTGTGGCCTGGAAGGCAGAGCACTCATCCCAGCTCCTCCCTTCTCTCTGCCTCTGGGCTGCTACCCTCCAAGCTGTCCTCGCCAGGCCCTCCCACCAGGTGTGTCTGCCTTGAGGCCACCAGCTAAGGGCTGAGCCCTCAGTGCAAAACAGACCTTGCTTTCCAGAACCTGGCCCAGATCCCCAACTGTCTGTATGAGGGGTACAGCAAAAGGATGAAATAAGAAACAGAAACAACTTTGGCAATACATGAAGGGGAGCTCAGAGGTAGTGCCTCAGGGCGGTCAGAGACAAAGACACTGCAAGCTAGTCACTGTTTATTGGTTGCCTAAAGTGATAGGAAGGGTGAGAAGACTCAAGATCAATGATTTAGGATAATTTGGGGTGACTCAAATGGGTGGAGACCATCCCATGCTAAGGAGGATCTTGCCCTGCAGTGTTTTTTAATATTAGTGTCTTAGTTTAGTCTTAGTGGGTGGGAGAGGATGGCCCATCCCTAAAGAGTTAATGGGAAGCCAGGTGTGGTGGCTCACGCCTGTAATCCCAGCACTCCAGAGGCTGAGGCGGGAGGATCATTGTGAATTCAAGACCAGCCTGGGCTACAAAGTGAGCTCAAGGCCATCCTGAACTGCAGAGCAAGACCCTGTCTCAAAAAGACCAAAAAAAAAAAAGCACAAAGAGTTAATGGGGAAATTTCAAAAGGGTGATACGGATAATCCCAAACCTCCATTTATCCCTTTGGGAAGTATGCAAAATTAGCCATTGTGAATTTGTAGACCCCACCACCTCCCTCCTTTAACTTCCATGTGTTGGTTATTTTGTGCTAATGACAGGAAGTTGACCAGTAAACACAGGCGAGGCTCAAACTTGCAATCTTCCTCCTGCCTCACCCTCCTAAATACAGTGGCTGGGATTACAGGCACCATACCTGGTAAGGAGTATGTCCTTCATAGATTTCGACACTGGGGACAAAGAAATGTGCCAATGAACTGGACGCCTGGCACGAAAGACTACAAGGAATTCCCAAGGTTTGGTGTCTGAGGGCCTGGACAGATGGACAAAAAGCTGGAGGAGCTGGGTTAGGAGAGGGACCTCCAAGGAGCAAGAGTGTGGCTTCGTCAGGGAAAGGTTCAGATGCCCATACACAGGTGCCCGTTGATGGTTAAATATCTAGTCATAAGCCAGGTGTGATGGCGCACGCCTGTAATCCCAGCACTTGGGAGACTGAGGCAGGAGGATCACTTTGAGTTTAAAGTCAGCCTGGGCTATAAAGTGAGTTCAAGGCCAGTCTGAACTGCATAGTGAGACCCTGTTTCAAAAAGACAAAAAAAATTTTTTTTCATTAATTAAAATATGTTCAGTAATTTTGCTCAAAATTTTCATATTGTGGGCAGGGGTGGGTGTTAAGAGTCCATTCCAGTCCCAAAGCCAATCCCACCTCCTTGACAGACATCTGTAACCTAATTTGCATCTGACAGGACAGCTATAATCTAATTTACCTTCTGACAGGCATCCTGTTCTAACCTAATCCACAAATGTCAGCCCCTTCCAGGAATGCCCTGGCCTCTCAAACAAAGCCAAAGATCACTCTACCAAAATTTTCAAACCCCTCCTAATAGGGTCCGGCCCACTCTACCTATGTACATATAAACATAGCTCCTTGCCTCTGGAGGGGCGGGGGAGGGAGGTGGG